CTATCATTTAGAGTGGTAATTTATAGTAATTGTTTAAATTTAAAAAAAAAAAAAAAAAAAAAGGTAAAAGAACTCCCTCATTATTTACTACAAAATCAAGTAACAGGGATTGAAAGAAAAATAAAAAATAAAACCATGAATTTTTTGTTTTTGTTAAAAAGGGACACTGGATTTATTGCTTATTACAACAATCTATAACCCACTAACAGTTTCCCCACCGGCTTCTTTCACCTCTATGACTGGAGGGGTGTTAACTGGCCACTTCTCCTTGAATAGTCCCTTGTTTAGCATAAGTAGTTGGCACATATTTCAATCTCTTCCAGCTTGTATTTAGCGGTGATACTCTGAGGGCTTGTGTACACTTACAGCGCTGCAGCTGTGCCACTCTAGCACTTAGAAGATGCTACCTACAGGGGTGGCAGGTTTGTATAATTTTTGGTGGCGCCCAGAATGGTTCAAGTCCCGCCCCCCCACACCTGCTTTATAAGCAGATTATATATTTTAAAATAATGTAAAAATGGACTGGAAACAGAAAGCGTTTAACAGTTCCCTATATTGCACAATAACACTATCATAAGAAAAATGTATTTAAGACTATCAACTTTATTAATACTCTTTTGAATACAGAAACAACCAAGAACTCTTGGATCAATAATCCTCAAAAGCAAATACTTTCTAAAATTAAAACAAAATGTAGCCTCTTCTTTTGTGATATTCTTCAGGAGGCAGCAAACACTTTTTGTCATTGTTTGATTCTTGAAATGAAGTCATCCAGGAGACTTGTAATGCGCCAAGTGATTTAGACATTCTTGGCTCATTGTCGTTCGCAAATAATTTTTCAGTCTGCGCAGGCAACTGAATGATCACTCAGCGGTGCAGGTTGTAGTTGGAATTGTGTAGAATAATTTCAAAAGAACTGTAACTTCTGACATGTCACTCAAGCCTTCGTTTTGTTTCAGAAATTGCTTCACTTCGCTCACCAAATTAAGCTGGCAATTTCTCGATCTGTAACTATCACTCAACATTTCTAAATGAAGAGATGTTAATGTCACCATGGAAAACTTCACTTATTGGGACAATGTCCTGTTTCGAGCCATTTGCTGCATCAGTTATACGCTTATCCAATTTTATTGTGAATGTAAGGCTTTCCATTGAAAACCTCTGTTAAATGGCAACTTTGATGCTTGCAATGATACCAACATGTATTTGATGAAAATACTTTTTGGGGTCACTGAAGGTGTGAGGAAGGCTTCCATTGATCTCTGTGGGTTACTTTTCATCTAAATAAAGATTTCTTGCTTTATCTACTGTTGTTTCCCAGAAGTGACTGTATGATGAGTCAGTGTGCATCCCGCTCAATATCTCTTGCAACAGGCCAACTTTCTTCGTAACGCTTGCCAATGACATGCTTGGGCTTTGAATTTTTGCATTAGCTTCTACAAGACCCACGGATTTCACAAGAACTGTCAGCGTAAAGTACGTTGAAAAAGATTGAAGTTGCTTCAAGAATCCACTACATTTTGAGCTAAATTCATCTGAAGAGTGACTAAGTTCATCCAGGCAGTTCATTATGGCCTCGTAGTTGTTGAGCAATAATTTAATGCTGCTGAGCCTTAGTGTCCATCTTGTTAGGCACAATGGTCGTAAAGACGGCTCCCCTTCACTCTGAAACTCTCTGAATGCTGCCATACACTGACTCCCTAAAGGCACTGATGAGATCTTTCACCATCAAAAACATATTACAACATTCTGGAATATTATGCAGGGCATCCTGCGTGGCAAGGTTAAGGGAATGTGCAGCACAGTGCACAAATTCCACTCTTGGCTTGGACTACAGCAAATTTACCAGACACATTACTGGCTCCGTCGTAACACTGCCCCCGGCAATCAGAAAAGGGCAAATCACACCTGAGAAGTGCATCTTCCACAATTTTGAAAAGAGAAGCAGCATCCATTGTGTCAGTTTTCTAAAACCCAATAAACTCCTCATAAATCTCCCAGTCTTCACTAGAAAAGAACCTTAAAGAAAAACTTACTTGTTCTTTTCTTGACAAATTGGTTCTCATCCATTATGATGGCGTAAAACTTAGAAGCCTTATCTTTTGCACAATTTGTCTTAGCGCCATTATTTCGTTAATAACCCCATGTGACAGCCACTTGTATTTTGTGCAACTAAGCCACTGTCTCAGTTCCTCTGAATCTGTACTGCATAGCAACAAGAACGGCATCCAATTTGAATCATTCTCATTATGTCCACGTAATGCTATTCCTTGTTGAGCTAGGTATTGAACACTGGTAAAAATGTTGTGCAGTGCATTCCTAGTGGATTGTGATTCTTTTCTGTAGCTGGCCGACATTAGTGCAGAAACATTTACCTACGATTGCAGAGCAGCATACTTCATTACTGCTTCCTTGTGACAGAAGGATTTTTTGTTTGATGTAAAACCATGGATTGCGTGTCTCATCTTGAAATCTGGATGAAATAAACGTTGGTTCGGCCTTCGTAGAAAATATTAAGACCTTCTTTTCAGAACAGTTTTTGCAGACCGAGCAAAAAGCTCTGTCAAATTCACTACTGTACTCCAACCATGTAAATCTTGATAGCCAAGATTGCTGAAAACTCCTTTTCTTATCTTGTAGATTTGTCGCATTTTTTTTTGTATAACTTTAGTTTGCAAGCTGGGTGTCGAACTCAGGCAGTCACTTGATGAATTATCCTTTTCTTTTTCTGTGGGTAACTTTATTAAGCATTTATCCATTGTTGATTATTATTCTTGATTCGTAGGACCAGTAATTTGTTGCTGGGATAAAATGAAGCGACAGCGCGCTGGTGCCACAAGATTACAAGGGGTAATTAAAAGTGGAAAGTGAGAAGCAGCACTCGCTTGCTTCAATACATTATATTTTGTTGTATGCTTAAAAACCAATTATATACTTTAAAGAGTATAAAATCAAGTATTGTGCTAAACACAACCATACCCTAAACTGACTGCTGAATTTAAGTTGCGTGTTTTTTTCCTCTCGGGCACTCACAGTATATGGCTGTGTTCCCTCTAATTTTTCCTCACTCGTGCGAAATGAATCTTATGTGCACCAATATGGAGGTGATGTGTGACAAATCACCTCCATATTAGTGCATAAAACAAAATTAATGGGGTGGGGCCGAGGGGTTTGGAGTGTTGGAGGGGGCTCAGCACTGGGGCAGAGGGTTGGGTTGAGGGCTGCGGGGTGGGGCCGGGCATGAGGAGTTCATGGTGCAGGAGGGAGTGGTGAGTGCTCTGGCTGGGGATGAAGGGTTTGGGAGTTCATGGTGCAGAAGGGGGCTCAGGGCTGGGGCAGAGACTTGGGGTGCAGGGGGGTGAAGGCTCTGGGGTGGGGCAAGGCTGCGGATGAGGAGTTTGGGGGTGAAGGCAGGCTGCCCCGGGGCTGGGGCCAGAGGAGGATTCCACAGTCCTCCCAGCCTTCTCCCTGCCGGCAGCAGCAAGCTCTGGTGAAGGGGCCCCCCTAGCAGAACACTCATCCGGCACCGGCACTGCATGTGCTCCTAGGAGCTGGGTCCCTCTCAGATCTAGGAAGTCCTCTCACCTCCCCTGTGGTGGTGCCCGGGGCAGGGGGGAGAAGGGCTGCCATCACGCGTGCGCCTCCTCCCTCTGCAGCTGCCACCTCAGCCTGCCACTGGCGTTGCTCCCTTTAGGTGGCAGCAGCCGATGAGGGAGCACAGTGCTGAGTGGCAGGGCAGCTGCCTGCTGCCCCTGGGGCGCAGGTGGGGGATGCTCCGGGGGAGACGCAGGGGGCGGCAGGTGGGGCCAGGGGAGAGAAACGGCCCCAAACATTGGTGGAGTCAGGCTCCTGTGCCCTGAATTTGCTGGAGCACGGGCACATATAACTCACCGCCCCTGGCTCCTTATGACGATGGGAGAGTTATACAGACATACGTTTGTAGTGGAGACCAGGGCTATGGCTTGGTCTACACTACAAACTTCATGTCGGCATAATTAAGTTGCTCAGGGGTGTGGAAAATCCACATTCCTGAGCAATGCACTTACACCGACCAAACTCCCAGTGTAGACAGCAGTATGTCTATGGGAGGGCTTCTCCTGTTAACATAGCTACTGGCTCTTGGGGAGGTAGAGTCCCTGCGCTGATGGGAGAAGCTCTCCCGTTGGGATAGGTGGCATCTTCAGAAAGTGCTACAGCGCTGTCGGTGTAGACAAACCCTAACCGTTTCCCAGCCCTGAAGAAGAGCTCTGTGTAAACTTGAAAGCTTGTCTTTCTTGGCAACAGAAGTTGGTCCATAAAAGATATTACCTCACCCACCTTGTCTCTCTAACCACCAACTTAAAATCCTGCTTCCCTCTGGTATTTTTTTAGTTAGTTACAATTGTTCAATAGCATCTAATATACTAAAAGAGGATCAATGAGAAAAACTGTTTGATTACTTCATGTATTTGACATCACTTTGTACAGTTTAATTCATTCTTCTATACAGTCAGCTTTCCCCATTTGTGCGACTTGTTTATATGGCAACAGGGAGAGGGGAAAAAATTGGAAATATGAAAATGATTTCACAAAAACTGGCAAGGGAAACCTGTCATTAAACTGATTAGATTTCAAACTGTCAGTCAAGCTAAACATTGGATAGATCAACTTGGCTTTTGGGAGCCTAAGACCCAAAGTGGATTGGAGTAACTGGTGGGCCATTACAAAAATTCTCACCCTGCCTCATTCGCAGTTCTCTTAGAATGTCTGAATACCACTTCTTACCTGAATTTGTTCCATTGACCCCTCCTCCCACACCTGAAGCTTTTCCAGGCAAACTAGAAGTGGGCCATGGATTAGACGCAATAGAATCCTTGCTTGAACTGGAGACTATGCTATTCCTTGTGCTTATCCCTGTTGGGAAAAGAAAGAGACAATTAACCATTAAGAAATCCTTGTTATACACAATTATTATGCAGCTTTGCACCTGCAAATAAATGGAGCAGGTGTTTGCCCCAGTGACCTTTAACCAAAAATCTCTCCACATTCTACTATTCAGCATCTACTATATTTGGGTTACTGCCTATCCTCTCACACCAGTTGCTTATCACTGATGTTACATGGGCCCTGTTCCTGCAAAGATAACCACCTGTTTAGGCCCTCGCTACTGTACTGAGTCCCACTGAAGTCAGTGAGTCCATGTCAGAATAAGGATCCAGGTATTTACATACATGTCCTAATCGTACAAGGGAATCTAGAGTGCTTTGGTATCCTGGTGGATGAACAATGCTACATAAATGTAAATTATTCTTATTAAATACAGCATTTTATGCTAACATCTGGTTACCATTTTACGCACTCAAATTAGGAAAGGCAATTTAAGGTTTTCACAATACCCTATTCTACTGTGTTATCTGTGTAATTTACACTGAAGTCAGTGAGAGTTGTGCACACATTGTAGGGTCTTTGGGACAGGGTCCATGTTATTTTTTTTTTTTTTAATTTTATGTGGAGTGCCTAATGCACATTTGGGCATGATACAATAAATTCTATGTGATAGAAGGTTCAGTCTGATTGCGTTTTAAGATCTACATCTAGCATCCTAACTAGTAATCCAAAAAATACCATTAAAACACTGAGTGTTCAAAATTGTAACCTTCATCTTACAATTACATGCACATTTGTATTTAAGGGAAGAAAAAAATAATTAAGACCCAGTCTGCCACCATAAAAATTAGAGCCGCACAAAGTTTCAGTCTTTTTTTTTTTTTTTTTCCTTCTTTCAGAACACTGAAACAATTCACAAATTCAGGTTAAATTTGGCAAATAGTTTCAACCACAAAGCCAAAATTTTCTGAAATGTAGAAGTGATTTGTTTAGAATAAAAATGGAAATGACATTCCATGTCAAAAATAAAGCCCTACCAACTCAACATTCAAAACATTCTATTTCAACCCAAACAAGTTTTGTTGAGAGAAAAAAACTGAATCAGTTGTGGTTTGAAACAAACTGAATTTTTTTTGTTTGGCCTCCAAACTGAAAAATCAATTACTCAGTTCAAAACCTAATACAGTAGCTTTGCCCCCAACATTCATGTGGAGTCCCACTGACTACCTGGTACGCTGATCTCTCTACTTGTTGCACTGTGTTCCGCCAGAGGCACATAGCTGAAATCTTGTAACTGTGGAATTCCACACTGAAACTTGGTCAAAATAAATTCAGTAAAAACAGGACATCATGAGCTGCTTATTTCTTGCTGGATGCTCACAAACACACACCTGAGGTGCCTAGAACCAAAGCTTAATTTGTACCAGGTCCTGCCAGCACTGAGCCCTGGCACCTCTAGGTTTGGCCGTTCATTGCCTCAGCACCTCTGGGCTTGCTGTGTCAGTTATGAATGAAAAAAAATTGCTTGAGCCCCTGCACCTCTTTCATTACAAAATTAAGTACTGCCTAGATTGAACCTTGTGACATGAATGGACAAGAGAGGACCCAGTCTTATAGTGACACAAATAGGGGCATCTTGTTCCCAGTGAAGGCTATGCCTCAGGAGAATCGTGCGTGTGCACATGCACACACACTTGGATTCTGCCCCATTGCTGGTGCCACCACACTGAGGATGAGCAGACACACAAGCAGGTGACGCCTCTGCATAAGAGTAGGGTTTGATTCCACACATTGGGCTGCTTGAATACGCTGCAGGGTGCATTTAATTCCTGCCCTGGGCAGCAGAAAAGTTAATGCCAGACTGCTATCACCTAGCATTTACTGCTGCTAGTATTAGTATTATATATTCACTAGGCAGCTTGGGGGTATGCTCCTCCTCCCATGCAGAAGATCAGCCACTCTTGGGAACATGTGCCAGGCTCTGCCTTATCAACTGGGCACATTTCCTAGCATATGCAGAATAGCTCTTTAGCACACAAGCCTGACTTCTCTTGGTGCACAGGAGAGCTGCTCCTGACACCTTATCCCTTTCTAGCATACCAGTGGGCAGGATTTACCTCAGTTTCTGGCATGCTAGAACCTTCTCTCTTTGTTGTAAGCCTCTTTCCATTAACAAGGTAGCCCCTTCCCACCCCAGGGTTCTCTGTTTTCTTTAAAGCAATAGCCCTTCCTCGGAGTCAAAGATAAGGCCCAAAGTATCCATTACCATTTCCCATTTCCATTAAAAGGTCAAGAAAATATTTCCTACTAACCAGGTAAATACCTAGAATGTTTCAAGTAATGCTGCTTGGCTGCAGAAACTCGCAAGGTGGGTGTGTCCTGCCGTGAAAAGGACGCATGGGAAGGGGCACTGTTGCCAGAACCTAGATTGTCCGAAAGCTTCAGATCCAAAATGCTTTCAAACCTGTACCAAGAGAAATCACCATGCTTAGCCCCAAGCTCAAAGCTTACACTTCATCCACACGGAGTGTTCCTTTCACCTCACTTCCACAAATTATTTGTTCAAAATGGTTTTGGTGCTGTACGGATAAAGGAAGACATTGCATACCCTTAAGCACTTTGCTGATGGTATGTTTATGCTGCATTGTAAACCTGGGTTTGTGAGACCCAAGCTTGTGGACTCAGTGTTCTGAAGCCTGACCTTCAGTGTTCATGCTGTTTTGTAAACCTGGGCTTAAACTAGCTGGACGCAGAGCGCCCAGACATACTAACAAGTCTGTACTGCACTATGCAGACCTTCGGTCTGTGGCCTGAGATGCATCCGCACTGCAGAATGACAAGGCTTGGACCAAAGTCCCAGTGGGTCTCAGGTTGACCCTCTCCTTCCTCCCCAGCAGAGTCCTAGGACCCAGGTCCTGCGTACTTGTTGACCCATGTCAGACTGATGTGTGCGTGTGTACATATGTACAGACGGGGGCTTGGGCTCAAACATGAGTCAGAGCCCAGGCTTCGTGTGCAGTGTAGACATGACCTAAGGTACGTCTACACTACACACCTGTAATCGGTATAATTAAGTCACTCAGGGGTGTGAAAAAGCTGCACTCAGAGAGGCTGTTCTAAGCATAAGGGACAGCATTGAAGAATCAAAGCGTCAAGAACCAAGATGGAGTACAAATGTAGAGGATCAGTTACCGGCACTATAGCTAGGCAGAGACAGCCCAGGGAGAAAGTGCTAAGGAGCAAGAGGAGATGTAGGAGGAAATGAAAGCAAATATCTAGCTGGGATGGGGTGAGAAAAGGAGAAATCAACTTACCTACAAAGAACGTCATCACTCTGTCGCCTCTTGTTTTTCAGATCAGTTCTGGTGAGGGAAGAGCTAAAATCCAAGTCTTCCAAGTCATCCCACTCTTCAGAACCTTTCATTGTTCTAGTAATATGTCCCCATCTTCGCCTAGTCTTTGGTTTAAGTTCACCATTCGTGTTCTCTGTCCCAATTTTCTGTTATTACGAAGAAGAAAACCAAAACATTTGCAATACAGAGCTATGGAATTATGAGGAGGGAAATCAAAACACAGTTGTTCCTTCACAAAGCAAGTGGTGATCTTGCTGTAGCAGCATAAATCCCCACCAGCTCCACTAATATACTGAGGACCTGCTCTGTGACACACAGGTGTTCATACTATCTTCTGCATCTCCTCCTGCCTTGATAGAGTCCTGCACTGGCAGAAGAATGGAGCTCTTAAGTCTCTTTCATCTCTAATTTCCATACTTCTTTCACTGTACAGGCTACAAAAAGTGATCAGCTTATGTTGAATTTTCAGTCCCCGACTCCACTTGTGGGTGCAAAACTACATGCACGTTCATGTGCCTGCACTTCAGCTGCCAGGGCCGCATTAAAATTTGTGCCAGCAAAACCTATTTGTCTTAACAGATTTTGCAGGCGCAAATTCTGACACTTGTGTCCTTGCAGCTGTTAAGGTGCATATGCATGTTTGAACTTTGTGCAATTCTGCATATGCACAAGTTGAAGGTCACATATAGGTTCTGCTGAAGACTTGGCTCTTAGTTTCAATACTGGTGGGCCCAATTCTCTTCTACTTTGGGCCTGAGTCTCATTTACACCAAGACCACTTTACATCACTCTGGCAGTGTAAAATGGCTTGAAGAGAGTAAGCGACAGTTCCATCCTCTTTAAGGCCATTTTACAATGCCAGAACACCGTAAAGTGGTCTTGGAGTAAGTGAGAATTGGGCCCACTATTTGTTTTTACACCAAAAAACTCCACCGACTTCAGTGGAGCTGCTCTCACTTTTCACCAGCATGAGAAGAGTGCCAAACTAGTCTTTATTCTCATTTCTCTCCTTTTTATTAAAAGGTACAACGATAACCGTGTTGGTTTAAGGTACCAAAAAGAAAAAAGAAAAAAATCCAATTAAGGAAAAATGCACAAAGTCATCAGCAGGTTTATCAGTTATCCCAGATTCCTTCTCACCTGCTGAGGAACTTGACTACGAAGTGCTGGCAGAAGCACCTGAGCAGGCTCGTCCTCGCTTAACTGGGTCCCGTGGTCAGTCACCAAGGAGTCTGCTTTATATGGGTACATGAGGTACTGGGAAGACTGGCTTTGCTGGAATGGTCTAGATGAGAGATGGGCATGGGGTTTTGTAGGGGGTTGTGCAGGAGGGACCGGTTTAACATGGTGCAGTGCTGCTTTATCATGGAGTTCTTTCGGCTGCTTGCCCAGTTCCTGAATGCAGAGAGAGGTGCCCAGTGTGTGCCCAACCTGGAAGTAGGGATATCGAAGTGCCTAAAACACAATAAAGGTATTCTACAGGGGAAGCCAGAGTCGCTGACTTAGCTTAGTCATATGGGACAGCTCCCATGTTACCTTACCCTCTTCCCTTTCCCATGTGTTGGAATATGGAGATAGAACTCTGTACAACACATCCTACTGCTTCAGGTTAGAGTAAGTTCTAATGACAGCTTAACCTCTATGCAAAAGCTTGTCCATGTAATGCAAAAGTAGTTTTAAAAAAAAGGTTTCCATACTAGCCTTTTTTGGTACAGAGGCAATATACTATTATTTACTTTGTAGTGCAATAGTGTGCAAAGACCCAGTCAGGATCAGGCACTGCACAGTAAGTAAGAGAAATAACATCCTCCAGAACTAAAGACTTAAATGTGTAGCTGTAATCAACAAATACTTGTCAGTGCGTGCTAGCAGATTTTTTCAATCACATGCCCAACTTGTATTTGATTCTGGGAGATACCAGCATTCCGAATTCTTGAAAGATACATCATGTAGCTATGACAATCTTGCTCCGCTTTACAGGTAATTAAGTAGTTGCTGCTGGGGGTGCAATAGTGGTCTTCTCCCTAGCTTCTGCCAACTAGAACAGGTTTTCAACATCTCTCTTCCTCACAGATTCCCCACCACATTACAATCTTGTCTCATTTGTTTTGCAGGAAGTGCTATTTGCTTGTAATTGTTAATACTAAATCACCTGAAAACAGTTTAGCTTGTCCTTCCCTTCAAGTTTCCCTCTCCCTCAATTTTACTTTGTAACTGCATTATTTAAGTCTACAGATTTTTGAATGAAAGACTATATGCAAAATAAGTACCCAATCCTGCTCCCACGGAACTCCCTGGGAGCTCGGACCTAAGGTTGGGTCTATCCAGCAAATGCTTGTTTCATTACGTAGGGACCTATCATGCACAGCACTGAATTCTCTTAACTGCCATTGAAGTCAATGGATTAACCCAATATTGATTATTTAAAGCCCATCATTCAAACTGCTGAGCATCCTCAGCTCCTTCTGATTTGCAAAATCAAGCCCTTTCTAAGATTAAATTAATAGGTTGATCACAAAGCTCTTTTCAGGCTTTATAATCATCTAGTCAAGCCTCCTGAATAACACAGGCCATAGGACTTCCCCGAATTAATTCCTGTTTGAACTAGAGCACATATCTTTTAGAAAGACATCTAATCGTGTTTTAAAAATTGCCAGTGACTGAGAATCCACTACGACCCTTCATAAATTGTTCCAAAGTTAAATTACTCTCATCATTAAAAGTTTACACCTTATTTCCAGCCTGAATTTCTCTAGCTGCAATTTCCAGCCTTTGGACCTTGTTATATCTTGGTATTCTAGACCAAAGATCCTGTTATTACATTTCTGTTTCTTGTTTGGACTGATCAAGTCACCCCTTAATTTTCTCTTCATTAAGCTAAGCAAATTGAGCTCCTTGAGTCTTATCAGGCATGTTTTCTAAACCTTTAATCATTCCTGTGGCTCTTGTCTCCACCCTCTCCAATTTACAGCCACAAGGGTAATTAATGACAGTCTGGGGCAAGATAGAGTGCAAGTAAATGCAACTCTATCAGTTGCACAAAGCAAAGACATAGTAAAGAAAATGGAAAACAAACCTGACTAGCTGTTGGTCGCTTTTTGGGGTCCCATTGTAGCATGTCTCGCATGAGCTGAACTGCCTCACTGCCAGCATTAGGAATTAGGGTCTTTAGGTTGTTAGGTACACACTGGGGCCAGCGAAAATTCATGGTACCTGCAAGTTGGTAGCCTTCAGGCCAGTCATTCTGAAAGAATCAGTATTCTGATCACTGAAAAACCCAACCATAAAGAGCTCTGATGTCTAAGTACCAATACTGTTCACTTTCAGCACCTCTCATCAACCATATTAGAGTTCTTTACAGGCTTAATTAACCTCGAAGCACTGCTGTGACAATTTTTTTTTTTTAAAAGACATCAGGAAACCTGCCATACAGGAGCATGCACCAAATCAATGGCAGAAATGGGAGCAGAAGAGACCGTCCATCCCCCGTTTGTTCTGGCCACTGAACCAGAACAGACATGTGCACCCAACTGTAAATGAGACTTTCATTCCATAGAAAGGGCTTAAGAACATTGGAAATTTTAAATAATTGTTATCTGATAAAATTCTTCCTTTTTGGACAGGTCTTTTCTAATGTCACAATTTTCAAGGATACAATTTTTAACTGTTGACCTCACAGATAATACAAGTTTTGTTATTTCACCTCTGAGATCAGTACTGGACTATGGCAACAACAAGCATGAATAGGATAAAGTGACATTCTATTTTATATCCTAGGCCAGGGATGGGCAAACTTTTTGGCCTAAAGGCCACACCGGAGAATAGAAATTGTATGGCGGGCCATGAATGCTGACAAAATTGGGGTTAGGGCATGGGAAGAGGTGAGGGCTCTGGTTCGGACTCTGGGATGGGGCTGGGGATGAGGAGTTTGGGTTGTAGAAGGATGCTCTGGGATGCAACTGAGGGATTCGGATGGCGGAAGTGGGGGGGGGGAAATCAGGGGTGCAGGTTCCAGCTGGGGTGTGGGCTCTGGGGTGGGGCTGGGGATGAGAGGTTTGGGGTGCAGGAGGGTGCTCTGTGATGGGATTGAGGGATTTGGAGATTGGGAGGGGAATCGGGGCTGGGGTGGGGGGGGGGGAGAAGCTCAGGGATGCAAGCTCCGAGTGGTGCTTACCTCAAGCAGTGGCACGTCCCTACTCTGGCTCCTACACGTGGAGTGGCCACCAACCCTCAGAGCGAGGCTATGCTGCAGCTTCCGGGAGCCACGTGGTGCGGCCTCCGAGCCAGGCACCCTGGCTGGAGCTCGCGGATCGGCTTAAAATGGCTTGCGGGCCGTAGTTTGCCCATCCCTGTCCTAGGCATAGTATCATTGATGCACTAAACAATACACATTGAAGATGTGGATCTCACTTAGCTACCTTTTTCGGTGTCCCCAGTACTTGGCAAATCTTGAATATAGTATCTATTTCACTGGCACCAGGGAAGAGAGGCCTTAATGTGTAAACCTCTGCCATTATACAGCCGACAGCCCAGATATCAATGGGAGAGCTATAACTGGTGGACCTCAGAAGAACTTCAGGAGCCCTATACCTATAAAAAACAACAGTTTATAGCATTCACAAATCAAACAAGTACTGCATAACATGGTTACCTCAAGTGGGCCAGGCCGTGATTTTTCATTCCCTGCCTTGCTGGAGACAGAAAGCATCCTTTAAAGCAGGGGTAGGCAACCTGTGGTACGCGAGCTCATTTTCAGTGGCACTCTCACTGCCCAGGACCTGGCCACCGGTCGGGGGGGGCTCTGCATTTTAATTTAATTTTAAATGAAGCTTCTTAAACATTTAAAAAATGTTTAAGAAACCTTATTTACTTTACATACAATAGTTTAATTATATATTATAGTCTTATAGAAAGAGACCTTCTAAAAATGTTAAAATGTATGAGTGGCACACGAAACCTTAAATTAGAGTGAATAAATGAAGACTCGGCACACCGCTTCTGAAAGGTTGCTGACCCCTGCTTTAAAGGATTCCCAGCAACCCCCACTCAATGCACAAGACTGTATCTTTTTTAGAGTCAGGGTTTGAAGTCACACAATATTCCCAGAATGCCCCGCCACAGCCTTCCATTATTTCTTAGACAATGCACATCATGAAGGACTTTAAGAGCTGAAGGCCCAAACCTGTGAGGTAATTCTCAGCACTCTTTCTCCCACGAAGTCAATGAGAGTAGAGAGGGCCAAGCACTTTGCAGAATGGGGCCCTATGCACAGAGTACAGATTTATTCTCAGCAACTGAAGTTGTGTGGCAATTTTCCTCCCACTTTCATTGCTTTTTATAAAGTTGATTTTCAGTGAAAACATTTAAAAAAAAAATGTGGACTTAACACAAGCTATGCTGAAGATTTTGGTCATCACTGACAAGGTCCTAACCCTGCTTAGCAGGAAAAAAACCCCCACTGTTCCCACCTATGAATCTTTGTCTCAGATTCAAATTTATTTCAAAGTTCAGAGATGTGTTCGGCCAACTCCTCTTTGGTGAAGCAAGATATGCGGTTTTGCCTCAGCCACCCACATAGGCTGATGAAGGAAGCTGACAAAGTATGGATGCTTTTGGTTTAAGATTAGAAGGATGAGTGGGGGTCATCTGTTAGTATTAGGTGGGCAGATGGCAGGAATCATTGATTAAACTGGGTTCTTTTGTCTTCCTTTTCCCTGGTTGCTTTTATAGTAACTCTTCTCTCCCCTACCCCCATGCTAGTTCTCAGTGCTCAACCAGAACAGCACTACTAATGCTGTAACAGCCTTTTCAGTTGCTCTATAGTAACTGTGGTGGCCTCTGACCACTGCTGGTTCTGGAGACTATTCTTCATATTCACAGTAGGTTAAGCAGTATCTATTCGTTTCAGCGATGCTACTGCCATTTGTCTGTACATCCATTGTCTTACACATTTTGAAGCCTTTTAATTATGCTAAATTAAAAATGTGATGCACTGGTTTTATAGACCAACAATGACATTATCCTTAGCTTACGTTAAAGCTTTGTCTTATCTAAAGGCATGACTTCTAGACATGTAATTTCATAAAACGTAGCCAAACATTTACATTGCATTTACCATCTTGTAGATACGTAGTCTGTATAAGGAGGCCTAGATCGGATTTCTCGGGCTAAGCCAAAGTCCGCTATTTTCACAAGTTCTGGTCCCATGCAAAGGAGGTTTTCAGGTTTCAAGTCTCTGTGAAAGAACCCTGCAATTCAAATTAAACATCAGTCTGCACTGCAGTTTTACACCCATTTGTAGCCTTTATTTTTTCCTACCTAGATTTCTTCACTTCAGTTGCCACTATTGCAGGTCCAACAGCAGGTCACAACTGTCTAAATAATCTTAACCATGCTAGTCTACATATTTTAGTCAGCCCATGAGGGTAAGTACACAGATGTTGAGATTTTCAAAGCAGTGTAGCCAGCTCCCTGCCCATCTTCCTTTAATGTTAATGGAAGATGTGCAATTTTAATGTTAGTTTTATTTTGTTTTAATAGGTGAGCACTTAACTAGCAAAAATCTCCCCCTAGTTTAATTTAAGCAAAATTCTGTGGGGGGGGGGGAAGAATTATTCTTTATATTTCAGTTCCTTCCATCTAAGCATCTCTAAACACTTTACAAAAGTTTGTCTTCCCAGCCATGGTGGAAAGCGGCAGGGGCACTTGAGCTTCAGTGGATACAAATGAGGGTGTTGCTAGAAAAGTGCTCACCATAAGGAGTCTTTCACTATAGAATTTGCTTCCCTTCTTGCTCTGCCAAAGCCTAGATTTCTTAAACTTCTAGGCATGCTGGATAGCCTGTCTTTTCTTGCAGGCATTAGGGGACAGGGTGTGTGGGGGGGGAGTGGGGGGTCATCTCAGAGATGGAGTGACTGGAGGTTGAAGGAGGATTTAGGTAGGATTTTTGTGTTATGGTTGGCTGGAATGGCTTAGGAGACAGTCTATTCACTGGTAGGGTGACCAGACAGCAAACGTGAAAAATCGGGACAGGGGGGGGGGGGAATAGGAGCCTATATAAGGAAAAGACCCAAAAATCAGGACTGTCCCTATAAAATCGGGACATCTGGTCACCCTATTCACTGGCAAACTTGTAGCTAGAACAACTGATTAAAGTTCACTATTGAAAATTTTGGTTTGTGGGTTTTAAGTTTTGGAAGATGCTTAGGGATCTGAGTAAGCACCAAAGAAACTGAAAAAAAGAAAATCAATATACTTGTTTTACTGTGCTATAAAAATTATCAAGTATGTGTGTGGTTTACAGTTAGTGAAAACAGAGACAGAGTTTGTGACTTGTTTCTCTGTTGCAGAAATACAAAGAGAGCCCAGGTCTCAGGACTTGCAGTCTTATGCTATTAGCCACAAGACCATATTGCCTCGGTTGTGGCAAAATCTTCCAACTCTTCCTTGTGACTGATTCACAACATCTTGGTAGAAATCATTTAAAATCCAGAGTGCAGGAGATCAGCGTAACAATACAGTGGTTTGTCCAGGACTGATTAGTTACATTTTGTACAGCAAGAATATGCAGGACAGAGATACAAAATATCCTGAATGTTTGTGCTTTCTTTGCCAGGTTGTACCAGTGAGGACTTAATGTAAAATGAGCTGTGGACAGATCTCTTAACGTTTTAAAGTATTTGATTTTCTGTGGTTTTTCCCTTTGAGTATGTCTAAGGCCAGGGGTGGGCAAACTACGGCCTGCGGGACCATCCTGCCCAGCCCCTGAGCTCCTGGCTCAGGAGGCTAGCCCCTGGGCCCTCCCCTACAGCCTCAGCTTGCTCGCTCCGCCGCAATGCTCTGGGTGGCGGGGCTGTGAGCTCCTCGGGCAGTGCAGCTGCAGAGCCCGCCCTGACCCGGTGCTCTGTACTGGTGGCGGCAGCGGTGGCGTGGCCCAACTCCAGCCGGGCGGCACAGCTGTAATGCCACCAGTCATCGGTGCTCCAGGCAGCAAGCTAAGGGGGGCAGGGAGCTGGCGGGGGGGGGGAGGGTTGGATAGAGGGCACGGGAGTCTGGGGGTGAGGTCAGGGGGCGGGGGTGTGGATGCTGGTTGGGGGGGGGGGGGAAAATGGGGTTGAATGGGGGCAGGGGTCCCTGGAGGGGCCGTCAGAAAAGAGGCTGTTGGATGGGGTGGTGGGGGTCTGTGGGCAGTCAGGGGACAGGGAGCGGGGGTGTGTGGATGGGGCGGGGGTCCCAGAGGGGCTGTCAGGGAAAGGGGGGAGACGCAGATGGGGGTCGTGGCCCGGCCCCCACCTCCTTCCCCTAACCGGCCCTCCATACAATTTACAAAAGCCGATGCGGCCCTCAGGCCAAAAAAAGTTTGCCCGCCCCTGTCTTAGGTCTACTAATGTGAATGGAGGAGAATAAAGCCATTAGCAGGAACACATCTTATAAAAGTAAAATCTAAGCATGTTAGGTAATTTTCAGATTCCAAAGCCAGAAGGGACCATTGTCATCATCTAGTCTGACCTCCTGTAGAACACAAGCCAGAGAACTTCTCTAAAGTAGTTCCTAGAGTATATCCTAGCATTCCTAGAGATAGTGGGGGGGGGGGGGGGGAGGGAGGAAATTGTTCTCTTGCCACAGAGGCAGGACAAGAGGCAATGGGTTCAAACAACAACACAGCAGATTTAGATGAAATCTGAGGGAAAACTTCCTAACTGTAAGAACAGTTGACAATAGAGCAAATTGCCTCGGGAAGTCATGGAAGCTTCTTCACTGGAGGTTTTCAACAGCAATCTGGATTGCCATCAGTCTTGGATGATCCTGCATCTTGGCAGGGGTTTACACTAGACAACCCTCAAGGTCCCTTCTAACCCTATGGTTCTATGATCTTTTTAAATCAAGATTGGATATTTTTCTAAAATGGTCAGTGATGGAGCATTTACCCTTTGTAACTTGTTCCAATGGTTAATTATTCTCACCTTTAAATTGTATGCTTTATTTCCAGTCTGAATTCTAGCTTCAACTTCCAGCCATTGGATTGTGTTATATGTTTCTCTGCTCAATTGACGAGCCCATTATTAAATATTTTGTTCCCCATACAGATAGACTGTACTCAATTCATGCCTTAACCGTCTCTTGAGCTAAATAGATTGAGCTCAGCACTATAAACCATGTTTTCTAATCCTTTTATCATTCTTGTGGTTCTCAGAACCATCTCCAACTTATCGATATCCTTCTTGAATTGTGGACACCAGAACCGGACATCGTTTTCTAGCAGCCGTTACATCAGTGACCAGTACAGAGGTAAAATAACCCTTTACTCCTACTTGAGATTCCCCTGTTTATGCATCCCAGGCCTGCCTTAGCAGTTTCGGTCACAACATCACACTGGGAGTTCATGTTCAGCTGATTATCCACTATGATCCCCAAATCTTTGTCAGAGTCACTTCTTCCCAGGTTAGAATTCCTCCTTCTGTAAGTTTGGCCTACATTCTTTTCTCTTAAAGGGGTACATTTATGTTTAGCCATATTAAAATGCATATTGTTTGCTTAAGACCAGTTTATCAAGTGATCCAGATCACTCTGAATCAGTGACCAATCCTCTTCATTATTTACCACTCTCCCAATTTTTGGATCATCTGTAAAACTTTATCAGTGATGATTTTGTGTTTTCTTCCACTGTAAGGTTCCTGTAAGCCCACCACCCCCAGAGCTCCACTGATGGTGTTCTGCCTATGGAGGGTTCGCAGGATTGGAACCCACTGTTGTAATTTTAATATACTTACAAGACAGTTTTGCAATGCATGGGGAACATTAAGAGCAAACTCTAAATTTAAAAGAAATAATTGCTTGATTCAAACATTGGTCTTGTTTTTGTTGGCTGGCCAACAAAGTCAGTTCTTATTGTTATCGTAAGACTATCAAAGCTATTTATCACAGGGATATTTTACCATAAAGTGTAATAATGTATTAATACATTTCACACATATATACATACCCCCCGCCCCCATAATTTAAGCCATGAGAAGTGCCAAGTTATAAAATCTGGAGGTAGAAACCCTCGTTTGTCCAGAGAACAGGTACAGCACAGCTAGCACCAGTGCAAATCTTATCACACTGTCCCACCAAGATGCTGTAGCCCTCACCTGAAATGACTGCCTGGAGAGGCTTTAGTCTCCATGCCCAATCTTTGGGGTCTTTTCTGGGATGGTCAACAAGGATGCCCATTAGTGCCAGTTGTGCTGGTAGTTTTGTGATGTGGAATCTTATTCATTAGGAACTGGACAAGCTGCCAGATTAGTTGAACATCACAGGCTACCAAGCAGATAATTATTTGTGGTCACTGGAAACCTTGCCCAACTTGGAATCAGTGACCTGAAAGTGAACAGCTCATCTCCTATGAATAGCCCCCATCACTCCGTTTAACAGAGGAATTTTATTATTTAGTTTAAAACTAACACACAGACACTATCTTGCTTCAGTTAAAAATATTTAGAGCCAAAATACAGCCTACCATGTTTATGGATAAATGCAAGCCCTTGCAGGATCTGATACATAATATTCCTAACCGTAGATTCAGGAAACAGTTTGTTTCTGTAGGGTAAAAAATAAAGAAAAAAAGTTACTGATGCAGTGACACAGGGAGTTTCTTATCATTTCTTAGGCACCTACAGGAAAAGGAACAGTTAGAACAGCTAGAAAAGCAGTTGTAAGCAGTGTACTTTGCTTTTCAACAAGAGCTGTGCAGTCTTTATGCTCACTGCCATATCTTGTGGTATTTAAGCTACCTTTGATACCAAATGCTGCAAGTAAAAAAGCTAGTCAATAAATTGAACAACATGATGTAAGACTTAAAACAAAAGAGAATGCCTCAGGCACATCCCACAACACTGCAGGGATTCAGAGAGAGTCCATCTCAGTAGAATGCTTTTCACTGTTCTTTTCCCAATGATCTCACTTCTGCCATATGCGAGATCAGACATTTTACTTGGTATGGGGCTTCTCTTTATGGTCTTTTCTGGCTTCATGAAGGTAACCCTCCCCACTGCTATTAATATCAGAGCAGGGGCAGTTCCCCTTGCAATGGCCTCCAAGAGCAGGGCAGCAGGTGTATGATAGCCCTTGCTATTGAGGAAAGGAAGATCAAGACCCATGGGCTAAGTGATAAGCACCTGCAGCCCCAAGGCATCTCAGTAGGCAGGGCAGTAGCCTTGAAAAGATCAGTGACAGAATTCCCTGGAAAGAGCCTACCAGTAGTGAAACGAGAGGTCTGTACATTCTTTAACTTCTGTACTTGATCCCTCCCTTAAACTCATTCAGCCCATCACATATTTTAAAAGTGAGGTCAGCAACTAGTCAGACTTCCATTTTAAACTGTAGTGGAACCGAGTTGAGTCTCTTTTCTCACCCCTCCAATGTGTAAAAATTGACAGTTTAGGTCTAAAGAAATTATCAGAGTTTAACAGGTTTATGTTTAAAAATTCTTAATAATTTTGCAGGTTTTCTACCATGCAATATTTTCTGCACTATAACATTCCCGAATGCACATGTGCAACTCAGTATCAAGCCCTTTTGTTTCTATTAGTATGTAGAATCCATAGATCCTTTCTAAAAAGCATTCTGAGATACATAAGAACATAAGAAAGGCCATACCGGGTCAGACCAAAGGTCCATCTAGCCCAGTATCCTGTCTACCGACAGTGGCCAATGCCAGGTGCCCCAGAGGGAATGAACCTAACAGGCAACGATCAAGTGATCTCTCTCCTGCCATCCATCTCCACCCTCTGACAGACAGAGGCTAGGGACACCATTCCTTACCCGTCCTGGCTAATAGCCATATAGGAATAATTTGTATTCGTGGTGGGGCAGGTCCCCATCCCAGTCAGGAAGAGGATAAGGAGCTCTCGGGGGCACAATCAGCCACAACCCAGCACATCTGTAAGGCCTGCCAACCTTTGAGAGGGGCAGGTCCCTAAAAGGGAGGATCCAAGCGCAGTGCAGGGTGGCAATTTGATGTAAGCTGAGCTAGACCACAGAGCACAGGCTGGTTATTAGCAAAGCTACTGAAAAGCCTCTGAAGAAGTAGAGGGGTCATCTTTGCTTTGCTGTATTCTTTAGAGCCTGGGGTGGTTGAGCTGGCCTATAGACACTCTGAAGGGGATCTGGGTTCGCAACCCCCTGAGACTACTCCCCTCATGGAGAACAGCAGTGGACCATTTTGAGGGCAGGAGGATTATTTTGTTTGCCTGTTTCATTTGGATTGCTTTATGCCCCCAGAAGACGGTGCAGTCTCTAAAATATACAGCTGGAGGACCACCCCCAAACCAATTCTAGAGAGATGTCAGCATTCAGGAAAGGACATCAGAGAAAGGGGCCCAAGGGGGTAGCCTATGACAGTATTGTAAAATCAGTATTCATTTTCTTGAGGTACAGAACTTCATACAACAAAGGCCTGATGTCTAAAACACATTTGTCCACCTGACCATACCTGTGCATGCATAGTGGCCACATGTGCAACCAAATTTTCATTTTAGTTTCTAAATATCCATTTGCGTATGCTCAAATGCCTAGTTTGTATATGCAATTGTAGTACCTGTACATTCAAAGCGACAAATATGTTCTAGACCTTGGTCTTCAATTTATGAAAGCCTGGCCTATCAGTTGACCTCTACTAAGGACTTGTCCACATTAGGGAGTTTTACACTGGTTTTGCTATACCAATGAAAATTCCTAGTACATCCCTGAGCTGCATCCATATGAAGAGGGGCTTGTACCAATGTAACTTGCTTTGCTTTACACTGGTGCAATGTGAGCACATTGGGGGTTTGCATCAGATATAGTTACACTGGTGCAAAAATCCTTGATGTAGCTGGGCCCTTAAATAGAGCAAGAGCCACATTTTCTACTGTAATATACAACTTTAAACTAAGATTGTGTTTAGAGGCTAAATATAACTGCAACCTTTGAAAGACATGGATGTCAAAGACAGCTAAGAAATGAACTCATTACTGTTATAGTTAAGTTTGTATCAGGAATGTGTTGATGATGTAATTTACATACCTTTCTTTCATCAATTGGTAAAGATTTTCCTTCATGTATTCAAACACAAAATAAAGATGATCATTTTCCCTGATAACTTCTTTCAGTTTTACTATATTGGCATGGTTTAATTTCTTCAAAGACTAGAAGCACAAAATACAAAAGAATGTAACACACTGTTATAAGGAAGGATTCCATGTCACTTACCTTGAAGCCCTTGTTGCACAAGCTAAACTGAAATGCTGTTTAATTGTTTAAGTAGCAGGTCGCTACAGATTTAAAGACCAGATTTCCTAAGAAAGCAATTGACATATACATTTGCAAGTGCTCTGAGTTATGTGTGCAGGCTGATTTGTGCCAACATATTGGCTTTGAATTGTGCTAAGCTTGCCAGTTAGACACACCCAACTGACTCACTGTTACACATCGGATTGGCTGCATCTTCTCCCAACACAACTTCTCACTGGAGGATCTTCCACTCTACTTGTGCACCTATGCTGCCAGAAGCCAGATCAGATTTTGGAGTGAGCTAAGTCCTTAATGCACCTGTAGGTCTTTTCCCTCTAAAATTTCCCACCTTTTTGATAACCAGTGGTAGAAACAGCATAGACAAATCCTGCTTTAAGCGGGGCTAGAAGAGATGTGATTAAAGTTTTCTACACTTGTGCTCCCACTGACACTACTGCTGTTGGAGCTGCATTATTTGTGTCTCTGGTCTAATTATCCAGGAACAGGACTACCTTGCGTGGAAAGGAGGAGTGTATGCACAGATGCTGTTGGTAATGAAGGGCGTATAACCTTCAAATCCATACTGCAATGCTACTCCCAGTTCCTGTTAGAATTCTTGCAGTGCAGCCCTGCCATAGGAACAGCCAGAATTCAGATGGCTATCTTCTCCCTTGGGCAGCTGCTGCTGACTGCAGGTTTGCTGGCAGGAGCCTGCTCCCCACCAGCTACAATCTGGCACCAGTTGTCTACAATCAATAGTTTTTAGCATTACTACAAAACAGCACGTGATAGTTTTAAAGGAAGAATGACGAAACGGCAAAGCTACCACAAACATACTCCACAGCTAATACTGCAGGGACTGCTAAGGAGGCTCTTCTCAGAGCTAGAATGGGTCTATGTTACCTAGAAACAACAGGGAGAACTGTTCTAATGTAAAAGGCCTTGTAAATGCTGGGGTGAAAAATAACCATCCTTGGAATTAACAAGTACCTTAACTTCTCGAAGATTCATGCATTCCTCCCAAGAGTAGAACTTTCTCTTCATCCTGTGGAAGCAGAGGGGAAAAAAAAGATTAATAACACAGTCAGTGCCATTACAGTCTGAACTCCATAAGTCTCTGCACCTCAGTTTCCCCTTCTGTCAAAGCACTTTACATCTCTAGATGAAAGGTGCTATATGGGACTTAGTATACAAAATACAATGCTGTACAAGAATACCTTTTTTTTTTTAAATAGCATTAAGAAAACACCCTACAATTCAAGGTAAGTGACTTTGGGCCCCACATGAAGCCAAAGGAAGTAAGCGGTTTACAAAACAACCAAGCTCTAACAGTTAACTAAGGCCTGGTCTACACTAGCAGATTATGTCGAATTTAGCAGCGCTAAATCGAATTAACTCTGCACCCATCCACACA